CGACTAAAAGTCAATTTGCAAGTTGATTTTATTTGTTTAATTTTGAAAAAAAGTACAAACCATTAACTTTATATATTTGCCTTATTCTTCAATTACTTTCTCTAGATATATGAAATTCCAGTATTAGTTTATGATTTCTTATAATTTTTATTATAACAATGACTTTTTATGATTATAGTAGAATGACGTTTGGTATAATAATTTGCTTTAAGTTGAATGAAATTGTGGTGTATTATTAGCTTACAAGTTTACAGGACCAAAAAAAAAGTTTAGTTGCCTAATTTTCTGGATTTGATCTATTTCATAGGATTATAGAAATATAAAATTAGCTCGTATATTGATGAATGTTCATTTTCATTTTGATAAATGCTCATTTATATAATAGTATATGTTGATGCACATATTAATTTACAGTCATTAGAATTATGATAAAATCTTGATCTCTATTTTCTTCCTATATTTTCTATCGATTTAATAAGGAATATCAATCTATTGTAAATTTTCATTTTAGGTGGAACATTGATCATTTAGATTTCGTGTCAATTTATATTCAATTAAATTTGATACAAGTGCATTCTCACATTATATGTTCATTCTTATCGAAAGATTTTCATTTGTAATCTAATTTAATATTATTCTCATATATAAACATGTTCATTTAGATTCATAGTTATTCATTCATTCTCACAATAACAGACATTTGTTTCAATTTTAAAACTTGTTTGTTATCAGATTGAAAAATGTTCAATTAAATTCTAATATTTTTTCATTCTCATATTGTAAAATATTAATTTAGATTTTGATATTAGTTGTTCATTTTCATATTGAACTATTTTCATTATTTTTTGGCAATATGTTAAAATTTGTATTTTTAATTTTTTTGTGAACTATGCTCATTAGTTTTTGGCAATGTTTATAGTTAAAATTTGTATTTTTAAATGTTTCTATTTTGTTTATAGTACGTGTGTTTTGATTATTACTAACATTTTACGTTAAAATATATTTACCTCTTATCACACTTGACAATGAAAAAAAAATGAAGACGATAATGTATGTATTGTTAAAACAAATATGTATCAAGGAAAACACACTAATATCATAAGCGTGCATACGAGGGTATGTATTACAAGGACGATAACTCTACCTACTTTTTATGTATAGAAAATGTATTAAATTAAAGACGATGTCCAATTCATTTTGTAAGACACATATATACTTTTTTTTTAATAGAGACACATATATACTTGGTGGTATATATATATGTACATTTTTGAAGTTTAAGATTTTCACTTTTGATTTTTTTTTTTTTAGTTTCTACTTTAAACTAATAAACTAAGCATGTGTATATACATTTGAAAAGATGAAAAAGTTCTAGTTAAGAAACAATGAGTATATGACACGCCGTATTAACAATATTGAACATTTAATTAATGGTACACAACTGAACATTTATATTTACAAAAAATAAACATTTATATATATCAAAATGAACATTTTATATATGACTCGAAATCGAAAAATTATAAGATGACATCGTTATGATGAAGAGGGGATGTAGAGAATGCTACATACCTAGGGGTATGGTGTAGGCAAAAATTTGTAGTTTTTAACACGTTCTCTGTGAATTGGATCTATGAATAATAAAATAAAGTCATTTTGTGGAAAATGATCTGTCCTGGTAAATTTCTAGTAAACAAAGTTGTCCATTAGTCATTGTAGTCATTTGAGCTAGAATATGAACTGCAATCAGAGGACAAAACAAATGATAAACCAAAGTCATAGAGTATATAAACTAATCATGAGCTTCAATTATTAGTTTAAGCTTTTGGTTGAAATGATCCCTTAACATGGTAACAAAGCAAGCATGACAAAGGGTCACGAATTCAAATTTCATCTACCTCCACTATTTTGTGAAATATTTTGCACTAAGTATGAGGGGGCGGTCCATGCATGCCGCATCCACATTTCAAGTCTAAAGTTCTCTCATGTGAGGTGATGGCCTGATGATTATATAAACAATCTTTGTTTCAATCATAAGCTTAAACTTCTAGTTAAGACGATTCTTTAACACAAAATAGTATCCCCACACACATGTAAATACACAAATCAAGAAAAGAGGACACTTGAGTTGGTAAATTTGACCTAGCAACCGAATCCTTTAAACAAACCAAGGCGTCATCAGGCACCCTGTAATCAGCCAAAATATGTACCTTAAGACTATAATCCACCTTCCAAGACTCCAAGTGAAACCTAGATGACAAAGAAACTTGAAACCCTTCATCAAACTACAACATCTCCATGATGAACGAAGAGCCCAATCTGATCATTGAACTGCAAGTAAAGAAGGATAGATAGATAACTAAAGAAAAGGAAAAGAAATGAAAAAAAAAAAAGGGAAACACTGGGAGGAAAAAAGGATCGGAAACAAAAGAGTCAAACTTTTTACATAAAATATTTCTAGAACTAGCAAATGTTCAGTTAAGCTAAACATCGTATATTGTTACAACTTCCTTTAACGTAAAAAGCATGCAAATTAAATTGGAAAATTTATCAAAAATAACATCATCTTTCACCGGTCTTTCAAGAATAGAACAGTACAAACTCTTAAATAAACCTGGTTCACACTAATTTATTATGGACCACTTATAATAGAGATACTATGGTCATTTTATTAATTTTTAAAAAAGGTTACTATGTTAAAATAATGGTCATTATGTTAAAATAAAAGTGATTATTTTTATAAAGGTCATAAGAGATAAAAAAATTTAAAATGAAAATTTTAAAATACTGGTCAATATGAATAATATAGGTCACTAGGTTAAAATTAGGATCATAATATCATACTTTAGGTTTGCGATAATATTAAAAATCACACAAATTTTATTAAAGATTACTATGTTAAAATTAAGGTTACTATATTTAATATTAGGGTCACTATGTTTAATATTAGGGTCACTATGTTCAATACAAAGTCAGTAACGCACATGTAGAACTTCGGGTGCACAATAATATTATTGTGAACCAGGTTCATACAAGTTTTTCTGATAGAACGGTCTTTGGATTATTTCAAAATAAAAGCACATCCGCCAAAAATAGAACAAAAAACCTATAACCTATTTTACAGGTTATATATGACATGTGTCCATATGTGATTGGTTAAAAAAAATTATTTTATTTTAGCATTTTTTTTAATAATAATGATTTATAAAAAAAACTTAAATTTTAAAAAAATTAAAATAAAACTAACTAAAATTAAATAAAACCCTCCCCCTTCCCGAAAGCAACCCAACCACCACCGCCGGCGCCTAGAGTCCCCTACCCAGAGATGGCGGTACCTCGTCTTGACCAGCCCCTCCCCTGAACCACCTTCCCAACCCTAAAACCCCCTATCTCCCATCGAACAACCTCATCTCCCAACCAGCAGTCGCCCAAACCCATTTCCCATTTCCCCATCACCTTGCGGCCGTCTCTAGGGTTGTACAGAGTACGGTTTGGTGCGGTTTGTGGTATGAAAATTGTGGTGTGGTTTTTTAAAATGATCAAATCGCGGTTTGCGGTTTTGTGCGGTTTCCAAAATTATTGAGACCAAACCGCACCGCAAACCGCACTTTAATGCGGTTTGCGATTTTTATACTATATTTTCATTAAAATTATATAAAAGAACTAAAATATATGAGCTAATTTTTTACTGTTAGTTAATTAAAGGTTAATAAAAAGAGTTTAATATTTAAAATATCAACTAATAATTATAATATAAAATAAAAGTTTTGTTTTAAAAAGAATAATTACAATTTTAATAAAATACGGTTAAACAGCAAACCGCACCGCACCAAACTGATCTTGCGGTGCGGTTAGGTGCGGTATTTTTAAAAGTGCGGTTTGGTGCGGTTTGAAAAAATTACAAACCGCACTTTTGCGGTTTGGTGCAGTTTATGGTCCAAATCGCACTTCGAACACCCCTAGTCCTCTCCACCCCATTTCCCAGGCGCCAAAAGATGGAACGACGCCACTGAGCTAATTCTCACTCTCTAAGTTAACCCACCAAGTCGAATCTTGGGATGAAAAATGTAAAATTCCCGATTGCTTGAGGGCTAGATAATTGGGGGTATTTAAGAAGAGAGAAAAAGCTCGAATGAAAGAAGGAGATCTTCAAGGTTTTTGAAGGCACCGGTGTAGGGGTGAAATAATTCTAGGGTTTGATGGAATTTTGAACCCTAAAACCACCACAAGATTTTGGGTTTTTAGAGTTTCGGGTGGTGGTTCAGGGGGAAGGGGTGGAGACGCACAGTGGAGATGGTTTGGGCGCCGACGAAGCAGGGTATTAGGGCGGGCGGAAGGTGGTTCAATAGAAAAAAGTTGGCGCCGTGGTAGGAGGCTCTGGCCGCCGGCGTTTATGGGGAAGTCGGCGGTGGGGGTGGCTGCCAGCAGGGAGAGGGATTTTTTTTTAATTTTTTTATTTTAAGTATTTTTTTTTTAATTTTAAGGGTTTTTTTTAAAATAAAATTGTTAAAAAATATTGACCAATGACATTGTGACCCGTGTCACTAGTAACCTATTTAACAGGTTACCAATCAGTTACGTTCTATTTTTGGCGGATGTGCATCAAAGAGTTATTTTGAAATAATCCAAAGATCGTTCTATTTTTGAAAGACCGGTGAGAGGTGGTGTTATTCATGACAAATTTTCCCATTAAAGTTAGGGGAAGTTAAAACATGAAAATTCATAGATTCTTCAAGTTCAACACACACTTGTTTATATATATACGTTTTTTTTGGAGCATCTTATACATGCATGAATTTCTTGTGTGAGTATAATATGTGAGTCTTGTATCTCAAGCTAAACATATCACGTTGCAACGCGTAACGCACCCATTGGTGTCTAAGACTTAAGAGTTCGTAGTTTCAATACCATAACATGTTTAAAAATGTCCTTGAACAACATTCAGTCAGTTTATGATATACTTCGTAGTTCTTAGGTTTCATACGATGAAGTATATATAATCAACTTGATGATGAACTAATTGATTCATAGAAAACGCTTGATTACAAGAGAAATTCCCGAAAGTAGAACGAAATCAATACAATATTAATGAGCTTCAGCAATGAAAGTGATTAAGTGATAATCTTAATTAATGAGAAAAACAATTATCTAAACACCGCCTACCAATTGCAATTGAATATTTATACATTGTCTTCATTCCACGCTAATGATATCCTTGCAGTAGAGACGTCTTCATTATTGCGTGGTACTACATTAAAAGAAGAATTTCTTAAAGAAGAACAACGCATTTTCTAACTTTTGATACACAAGCAAGCATAAAAGTAATAGAACGATCAAAGAGCAAGCCTACTAACGAATGACAAAAGTTAATATACAATGCAAGCATATACAAGTATAAAGAATGATCAGTGTGCAAGGCTACCCATGACCGACACGGGTGACTTGCAAGCCTACCCATGACGGACACGGGTGACTTATTACATAATATATAGCCAATGTAGGTTTGATCTTCGCAGTTACTTCTAATTTAAAACCTCTTGTGTGTCACAACTCACAAGTGTATAACTACATTTCATTTACTAGTTCATTTTCCTCCCTTTATACGTAAAGTTTATACTTAAATAGAAAACTAAATAAATTTAACTATTTTCAAACATTGCTGCAAAGATCAGTATATTGATAATCTTGACACGTTTATATGCATGCTACCTAATTTTAATATTAATAAAATTCTAGTTTTCGTAGATACCAAATAAAGGTAATCTCAATTTCTTTATCTCAATATATTAAGTTATAATTAGGTTTTAATATGTACGTATTGTTATTCCCTTCATTCACATAAAACTAGAGCTGTCAATTCGGGTAAACGGGTCGGGTTTGAGTCGGGTTAGTGTGAGTCAAATCATCTCGGGTCGGGTCAATACGGGTTAATGTCATAACATATGTGGTTCGTTTTCGGGTTGGGTCATGCTTGAGTCGGGTCACATCGGTTCATACATCTTATCGGGTTTGGTTCGGATTAGTAAAAGGTCGGTAACCTTCGGGTCGGGTGAAAAATAGGTCGGGTTAAATTCGGGTATTTACGGGTTTAAACAAGTTAGGGTCGTTCTCGGGTTCGAGTCGGGTTCGGTTCAAGTCAATTATTTACGGGTTATAATCAGGTCGGGTCATTCTCGGGTTCAAGTCGGGTTTAGTTCAAGTCAATAATTTACGGGTTATAATCAAGTCGGGTCATTTCCAAGTCGAGTCATTCTCGAGTTTGAGTCGGGCTCGGTTCAAGTCAATAATTTGCGGAAAACATGTTTCGTCCCTGAAATTCGCCCATAAAACATGTTGTGAAACTAACCTTGTAAAATTCAAAGTGAAATATTGAAGGAATAGAGTTAGGATTCAATTTCCGTTCTAATACCAACATGAGATAACGACCTACACATATTGATTCAATAACAATTCGGGTTGAATTTGGGTCAGGTCAATAACAAGTCAGGTTGATTCGGGTCGGGTTGAAATTCGAGTCGGGTTTGTAGCTAGTCGGGTTAAATTTGGGTCGGGTTAGGAATAGGTCGGGTTGAATTCGGGTCGAGATAGGAACACGTCGGGTTGAATTCGGATTTTGACGGGTTAAAACGGGTTTAGGTAAATTACGGGTTACATTCGGGTCGGGTCGTCTTTAGGTCGGTTAATGTTCGGATTCGGGTCTCAAATACTCGGGTCAACTTGGATCTAGGGTTGGTTTCAGGTTGGGTTAGGTCGGATTCGTGTCACCATTTTTCGGTTTCAGACGGGTCGGTTAATAGGTTGGGTTAGGGTCCGTATTTCGAGTCAGGTCAGGTTTTGACAGCTCTACATAAAATTTTTCTTACGATCAGTTAGGTACTAATAATTAACAAAAGAGATGAGATCTTAATAATTGTATTAGAATTTGAGAAATCAAATAATGTTAATTGCCTCAGTATTTTTAATTGACATAAATAACATGCATTCAATTGATAGATGATAATCTAAATGCAGGTATTTCCCCCAAAGAAAAAGATAGTCTATATTACTTCCTCAATGTTATTTTAAATGCAACACTTTAACTTTTTCACTATTCATTATATTTCTCTTTGACTAGCTTTAATGATTTTTAGTTACAGAAAATAATAGTTATATGAGATCTTGATAGATTCATACCGATTAATTCGTTGTTATTAACAAATTTGTATAATTTTTACATTAAGTAAAAGATGTGAAGTATTCATATTGAAATAACTCATTAACGAGCCCAATATTACATTGCATGTCAAAGAAAATAGATTGAATATTAAGCCAAAAAGATAAATATAAGACACATCCAAATTATTATTATTATTATTATTATTATTATAATTACTATTATTATTATTATTATTATTAGTTTTTTTTGCTTTTTACAAGGGCAAATTATTATTTTAAGGTGAGGAGAACACCTTAATCTTTTATTTTTCCTTTTTGTTATCCTTTTTTTTTTTTTTTTTTTTTTTTTTGTAAAGTTCCCAATATATATACTTGCTAAATTTGATAATTTATAATTATGGAAAAATTAAGTCACTTGGGATCTTTTTTTAAATTGTCTCATTTTATATTTTATTAACACATCAAATTCTTATCATTTCACTAAAAAAAATAATTAAAAAAAAATTATTATTGTTCCCTCAAAAAAAAAAATTTTATTAATGACTAGAATAACAGCCGTTGGCTACTATGTAATGAGAAGTGCTGCATATAAAAATAATAATAATATTAAAATAAAATAAAAAAGGTGTTTATAAACACAAGTACCAAATGGAGTACAAAAAACCTCAATGCAGAAAAGAAAAATGACACTTAATAATTTAACAGACTAAACTACCTTTTTAATTAATTATAACCAATAACCCCATCTATAATAATCCTATCTTCCTCTTATTCTCAAATCTCAACTATGAATGCAGGGAAACCAACAACGGGCATCTTTCTTATGAAAAAAGCGACAATCTTCCCCATTACCCTTCAATATTGTTGATTTTCCAATATTGATCTTCTAATTAATCTTCTTCTGCATTTCTTGTTTGTATTTAATTCATATTGAAAAGAAAAAAAATAAATAAAAAATCAAGAGTACCGGCTACTTTAGCCGGTAGTTAGCTCCGACTATTGGTACTTAGATCCGGCAATACAAGGCAACTATTGGGCAGAGGAGCCGGTACCTCTCGCCAAGTACTGGCTCCTCCATTCGGTACTCACTGCCGCCTAACGGATTTGAGTGCCGGTAGTCGACGCCATTTACCGGCACGAGATGACAATAGTCACACTACCCAACCCATTATTTTTTAGTAATCCAAATACTTCCTACTATATATTCAATTACTACAAAGTACAGACCCTATACATCATAGAATATTGTATAACTTACGAAGTATTAACTTATATAGCTACATGGAAGGGATTGTCATTGAAGTTAGATTGGGGTGCGGGTGCCAAAATATTAATATTATATAGCTAATATTATTTATAAATTCTCTATCATTATGGATCTTGAAAAGTGGAAAAAAATAGCTTAAAAATACGATAAACAATCCAATGCCAATATGATTATCCCAATAGAAAAGAGAAAGTAAACCAAGAGTAAAGAACCTTCTATATAAAATCTCAAGGATATCATCACGTGGAAATAGTGAGAAAGATTAGTGTATTTGGCATCATAGGAATTTCCTGGCTTACAATGCATAGATATAGTTGTCTGCATGACAAACTTAGAAAAAAATAAAGTACGTAAAATCATGCATGTGTATGTAATACTCTTGTATTGAGAAAGAGAGACATGCATAAAGTGTCAAAAAATGGGTGTGATATAAGGTTTTATTTGCTAGCTAGTATATATAGACAAATGTTATGTTGTCTAGATTCTAGGCCTTACTTTATTATTGTTGCATTCATGTTGTCATATACAAAATTTTGAGATATAATTGCAAGTTGATTGCTAGACGGGGTCCTGGAGGTGTCAATTCAGATGATTGATTAGGGTCAATTTTAAAAGTTGAAGCATTATAAATTATTGTATCTATGCGAGTTAAAATTTAAATTGGATATTTTTCACGTCGGTTTCAGGTTGGATCAGGTGTGTTTTTGATACCTCTAGATGACATGTATATATGTGAATGAAACGGCCCCACCATTTCGTACAATTTTAGAGAAATAAAAACGATAAGTAAGGAAGTTGTCTGATACAAAGCGAATCTAAAGATAATGAAGGATGCGATGTTTACAGAATAACAAGAGCAAATGATGAGAATCGTACCCAAGATCCCTTAAAATTGGAAAGGAAACTCTAACCAGCTGAGCTATCCCTCACTCTCTCAATATGAATTCAGAAAATGTTATTAAAAAAAATAATTAAAAATGTAAGTAATTCAATTCAGAAAATCTTATATAGTATGACCAGTATTAATCAAAGTATAAGAAATATATTGGTCATACTATGTACTCTGTATAGAACTGTAGTAATACAAGGTCATACAAAGTACTAGTACGTAGTACTATATATAGCAGTACGTAATATGAGGTCATACAAGATTTGATTGATAGAATGACTCAAGTTGCAAATCAGGGTGTTTTACTGATGAAAAGGATTTAGATTCTCACAATATTTTTCTGTTGGTGTAACTAAGTACGGACAGAGTAAACATACAGTACAATGCGTGCAAGTAGGAAATTTTCTAGTTCAAATTACCGGTGTACGTAGTGTAGTCAATATTGTTGAGGCTAAGTCATCAGTTGATTGACAAGGAACTATTTTAACAGTGAAAAATCTACTTATTATGTAATTATATTAAGCTAAAGCATAAGTATAAAAATTAAGGACTTAGCTGCAAGATTTGTTTTATAAGTAATATTGAATGCAGCGTCTTGGATTGGTGTTACCTATCAATCAAGCTTGCACTAGATATGTTTTGCTGTGTCATTCTCTTTAATTTTGTTTGATCTGAAAGTGTACGTATCATTGTGCCATTTAACACATAGCAGTTCATGTTTGGGATTGTAATTCATGGGGGATTAGAAAACTCTGTGTTTGATGAAGGGAAGAATGCAAGTAATGGATTACTAATCAGTGACAATACTGATAGGAGGAACCTTAGGTCTTGCTGTAGTCTGGTAGACTAAGTACTTGTTCTTTTCAACTTAATTTCAGTTTAGTTCGATTTATTTCCTAATTTCATTCTTTCATAAGCAATTCAGTTCAATTCAGTT